AAGCCGCAACCACGTGTCACGGGAGGGAAAATGGCCGCAGATCCTGTTCGTCACCCAATCCGGCATTCGCGAACGGAGGCAAAATTTTGCGACCGGAGCTGTTCGTGAACCGAATTGTTCGTGAACAGAAGCGTTCGTGAACCGAGGTACCACTGTATATTCTTTTTTCTTTTATCTGTAAGTCACCCAGAAGTTGGGTGGTCTCAAAATTGGATTAAATAAATAAATAAATTCTGATTTACCTTTGATTTGGTTTTCTGCTGTATATGTTCCTTCTGGGAATTGGCAGAACAAGTGGAATAAACAAACCACAAATTGGCCAAACAAGGTATATTTACTTGGTTCATCTACAAAATTGACTCTGATTTTTCAGCAAATTTGACAATCTGTCCAGACAGAGACAGAGACATCTACTGATTGAGGAGCTTCTTTATAAAATGAGTATTACGGGTCTTTTGTTTTTATTTATGTTTCTAATATTTTAACATGATTTTGAAAGTTTGCTTTTATCTATTTTACTTTTAAGGCCCCTCAGAGAGACAATTCTCAGGTCTTGCTGACTGTATTGTCAAAATTGCCAAAAAAGATGGAGTTACTGGTCTGTACCAAGGATTTAGCGTTTCAGTACAGGGAATTATTGTATATCGGGCATCTTATTTTGGATGTTATGACACCATAAAAGTAAGTTTTCTGAGCAAACTAACGTTTTTCAAAAACACTGAGTATTGATAAGCTATTTTTATTATGCATGTTTTTATATTATGATACTTTATGTATAATATTTTATATTATACAGTTTTTAGCTCACATGCTACTGTACCTCCCTGTTAGCTGTGGCATAATTAACCTTATTCATAAAGAACTGAGAATTAGAAAAAAAAAGATACCTACTGGTTGATGCAGTCTTTCTTAACTAATAGCTTCTATGTACTTCTTGCATCCCAGTCCACTTGTTATTGCATCCAAAATTCTAATGCAGTATAAAACACCTCACCACACTTCTATTTGGTGGTGTTCATCTGAGGAAACAAGTATATATTGCGTCGCATATGGACATTTATTGCACTATTAATGAGATGCAGAAGCCCTACACTCAACATTGCCGACTGTGCGCTGGAGATTAGTATCTTGATGTGTGTAGATAAAGTGTACTATGCTAATTAATTCCTTAATGTAAGTAACAGAGAGCGGAATCCTATCTATCTTTAATTAAAAATCTCTTCCATTCAGTAAAATTTACTCCTGAGTAATTAGGACTGTAGCTATAATCAAAGCAATTCTATGCCTAGGATTTATAGATTATTCTAAATCATAACGTACTTTGTTTCACTTATCATGACTGTGATTCCATTTATTTTTTATTTATTTATTTATTTAGCATATTTATATAGCTGCCCATCTCACAAACACACGACTCTGACTTGTGGCTCATTTATCAAGCCATGGTTTAAACAAATTGTCTTGTACAATGAACTCATTCAGTGAGTTAAGGGAAAAACAGGTCTTCCAAAATTTAGACCAATAATTCAGCCACAAGACTAAGAATAGTAATTTTCTATAAGACTCTGGGGCTATTATGTCCTCAGAATTAGAATAAACTCCACTCATCTCTATGCATTTTATAGATTTAAAACAGTAACATGATGGTATAAAAGACTAAAATAGGGAAATAAATTTTCTTAACACTGCACTATTCTTGACTGATTAATTGACCTTTTCCTTCTATCTTCAACTTGGTCCTTCAGCTCCTCCAACAGTGCATCCATTCCTGCTATAATCAAGTCCATTCACCTTGCTGCTGGTCATCCTTTTCTTCTCTACCTTTACCACCATTATCAACTTCTCAAGAGAGCTAGATCTTTGCACATGTCCAAAATATAAATCGAGTCTGGTTGTTTGTCCCTTGATTGAGAACTCTGAATTGATCTGTTTGATGATCCATTAGTTTGTTTTCTTGGTTATCCCTAGAATTTTCAAGAGTCTACTCCAACACCAAAGTTCAAAAGCCCGAAAGATTGCCTGAATGATTCTTTTTTGGGGGGGGGGGGCTAATATTTTTATTAGAGATTACATTATGCAGATAAAACTAATACAAACTATAAATAAAAAAGTGATAAAAGATAAAAAGTTCAGGAAAGAAAAAGAAAAAATTAAAAAAAGAAAAAAAGAAGTAACTTCCCGTCGGACCCAGCAAGTATAAACAATTTAAACAACTTAGCCCCATCTCTTGAAATATAACAATCTTATCAAATATGAGACCCCATATCTCACCTCATTCTCTATAAACAAATCTTTAAAGCCTCATCATCCATCCTAATAAGCAAAAGTCCATTGTTACCAGAAATAATCACATACTGTATCTATTACAAACTTAATCTAATAAATTGACTTGAATTCCATCCCTTTACATTTATATCTCATTTTCTATTTTTTAAACAAATCCTCAAACTTCATCATTCAAATATAATCAGTAAAAATCCAGTAAAAGTTACCAGGGATAATAGCGTAACTATTTTAGCCTTAATCAAATAGATTTAAAATGTAACAAATAACCTCTTTCCCATATAACTCTTATCTATAAAACAAAACCTTAAAACATCATCTACAAACTTGTCATTCCAGAAGTTCTCAATATTTAAAAAGCAATAAAAAAATTAATTCCAAAGTGATTAAGAAATGAGGATCGGCTGAATTTGAGTCCAAAAAGGCTACATTATGACTATGTGCTTAAATGGAATTTTCCCTTGACTCCTAGCTGCTCTACTCATTAGCCAACTGCAAAAACATCAGTTCCTGCAGTTTACTCGCGAGGAGTAATTGTCCAGAGTATGTGTGGGCAATCTCAAGATTTCTCCTTTCTCCGGAGACATTTTGGTGGCCCAGATCCTGCATCCAGCTGCAAGTTTCAGCTGTAATGTCCCCATTTTTCGGGGACATCTTTAGTTTGCCATACCTCATTGGAAGTTCCTCATCACCTGAATGGTTCTGATCTTTGTAGATATAGACATCATGGCATCAGATGATCTCTTCTAAGGCCTTCATTGTTATCCTATCAAGTAGTAGTCTACAGCATATTTCTTGACTGCTGGTTCCTTTAGTCTGGTAGTCAATCCTAAAGGAGAGAAACTATCCACCACTTCAGTGACTTCACTGTCAGTTCTAAGACTGATAGTTGTACTTGTTATTATAAGTTTGGTCTTCTTTATATTTAATCTTAGTCCCATTTTTTCACTGTGTTCCTTGACTTTCATGACTAGAGCTAGCAGATTATTTTCAACTATCAGAGTAATGTCATTAGCATAGCACAGGTTATTGATATTTCTTCCTCCAATTTTAAAACCATACCATCTTCTTCTAATCCAGACTCCCTCAAATATGTTTTGTATGTAAACTGAATAAATGAGGAGTGACTATGTAGCCTTGTTTCATTCGTTTGCCAACCTGGAGCCAATCTGTTCCATCTGGGCTGTAGCTTCGTGTCCTGTGTATAAGTTCTACATTAAATGTTCTAGGATTCCCTTTTTCCTAAGAGCATTCAATAGCTTGATATGGTTGGCACAACTGAAGGCCTTTCTATAAACAATTATTCACATCTTGACTTCTTTTTTTATTTTATTTGACTTCTTCAGTTATCCAGGGTACACCAGCAATAATGTCTCATGTTCCTTAGTCTTTTCTAATACCAGCTTGAATTTTTGACGTTTCCCTTTGTATGTAAGATTCTAAACTACATTAAACGATCCTAAGCATTATTTTGCTAACATGTAAAATTAAGGATAGTATGCGAAGGTTTGCAGACTTTATTAAATCTCCTTTCTTTGGTATTGGTATGTAGACTAACCTCTTCCAATCCCTTAGTCTCTGTATTGTTGTCCATATTTGCTGGCATAGTTTGGTTAAAAACTGGATTGATTCTTCTTCTGCTGCTTGCCATGTTTCTGCAGATATTCCATCAATTCCTGTAGCCTTCCGACTTGATAATGACTGGAGTGCTGATCTAACTTCTTCTGTACTAGAGGTTCTTGTAAATAGGGAATATCCATTATTTGGCACTGTATCATCAATCACTTTTTCTTGTCCATACATGTGATTTTCTTGGTAAAATATAGGAGTGATTTACTATTGCCTTCTTCCATGCAGTATGAAATGATACCTTTATCATTGTCACTAAAATTATTATCCACCTTTAGCATCTCCTATATCTCGGCTGCCCAAATAGGTGCCTGCTTGCTTTGCTAGGCAGGTGTGATGACCTTTATGCTTTGGGTGACCCTACTTGTAGTATATATTTCTGGTGTACACTCACTGGGTTCTTCAGTTATTTCTCCTACCACCATGAAGCAGAACAGCAGGACCTTTTGGGGGAGGGTGGAAGGAGGGCGGGCACTATTCTTACTTCAGATAAAATCAGAATGGTTGCTGACCTGGGGTTCAGTTCTCTATTAGCGTTCCCAGTACATTTTCCCTCTATGTACCTCTTTAAAAGAAGCCTTAGTTATTACTGAAAGATCTTCAGAAAGCACAAAGGCAATGAAATATAAATGTAATTGATTTAAACTTTAAAATGAGTCTTGCATTTTGATGAATACTTATTTTTGTACCTAGACTAAAATTGCATTTGGATAAATGTGATTTGTGATTCTGGTCTCACCTGTGGGCCACAGTTTACCATCTTGACATTCACCTATATTGCATCTCATTTCATATTAAATATTCCTCCTGTTTAATTTGTCTGACACTCTAAAACATAAGATGAAAAATATTTTAAATTACTTCAAGAATGTAAAATGATTCATTCAAAATACTCTGAACAAATAGAAATTTGTACAGTAGTAGTATGATTTCACTTCATTAATGTTACATTAAATGTTTGAAGACAACCCAATGACTTATTTCTCTTTTCCCTTCTTAGGGACTGCTACCAAATCCAAAAGAAACTCCATTCCTTGTATCTTTTGCAATTGCTCAAGTGGTGACAGTATTTTCTGGGATACTCTCGTATCCATTTGACACTGTCAGAAGACGCATGATGATGCAGGTAAGTAGTACATTTAGAAAACTTTTGTCCTTGTGAGTGTCTGGGCTACAGCATTCTGTTTTGATGCTACTTATTCTGTATCTCTCCTCCTTAATTGGAAAACGTGATATTAGAATATTACACTGAAGGGTCTGTCTAACCCTATATTGTCTATTTATTTGTGCAACAGCTCTTCAGAATCTCAGATAGGAATCTTTTCTACTCCTACAGAGATTCTGGAACCTTCTGCATGCAGAACAAGTATTCTGTTACTAAGTAGCCTTTGTATAAGACATATGCATTGGCCTATACACTGCATGCACTTAGATTTAAGATAGGGAAATTGATGCTTTTGACTTAGCTATAATTTGCACACAACTTTGACATAGCTAACATTGGAATTGTGAAAGAAAATAAAATATGGTGTTCTGTTACAGCTATCCAATCATTTTGGCAGTTATTAGGTTCTCTATCACCAGTATAGAAATGAAAGCAACAGGAGTAAATATTAACAAATAATACATTTTTATTGTATTGGTAAATTCCACCCTCCTCAATATTTTGTGTATATGTTTGAGATGTTTGAAGGGAAACCATGGCTGGCATGCAGGAGAACCAAATTAAGGTTATGTATGTATGTGTATTCTGTGCTACTGATTCACAGTGCATAAATTTAGATTAAATCTGTGTTTTCTTAAAAAAAAGAATCCCCCCATCCTCTTTTTCAGTTTATTTTATTTACCATTGATCTAACACTTAGAAAATCTAATCTAAAACATCTTCTTTTCATTTGCATCCCCTCTCAATAGAAATTTAGGAAAATCTAAAAATCAATCAATCTCAGATTGAAACATCAGAGTGAAAATTAACTGAAGAACAATGTAACAAAAACAGACATTATGTAAGAACTAGCAGTCTTTAAAATATCCTAGGAAGTGTCCTTATTTGAGTCTGAAGTTTACAAGAAACCTTATGGGAAAATCATGGACATTTTAAATTTAGCAGCAGAGACCTACATCAGGAAAATATTTACTTGTTAAGTTCTTAGCAGTGGCAACATTTTGAGATAGGTATACCTAGCATTTACTATGAAAAACTAATACCATAAAAAAATTATTTACTATATTTCAAGTGTATATGGTTTGCATTAACTCTGATTATATTTGAATGTCTTTGAATGCAGAGTGGAGAGACTGAACGTCAGTATAAAGGAACCATTGACTGCTTTATCAAGATATATGGCCAGGAAGGAATAAATGCCTTCTTTCGTGGGGCATTTTCAAATATTCTTCGTGGGACAGGGGGTGCCTTGGTGCTAGTCCTTTATGACAAAATCAAGGAGTTTCTTAATATTGATCCTTCATTAGGCCGATCATCTGAGTAAAGGCACAGATGACCTATTTTACCTGCATTGCACACGTAGAGATAAAACTCATATTGTTTTGAATATTGGTTTATTAATTACTATTCCACTTTGTAACAAGTCAACAGTATTTACTGTTATGATTTTAAAGCAATTTAAAAGCATGTGTTTTTTTCATAAAAGGTTATGCTTACTTATTTGTTGCTGTCAAATACCTCCTGCCTTTTGTTTCCTTTTCCAGTCTTTTCCTTGTGTCATTATCTTTAATGTCAAAATCAAGATTCTTGGATTTCATCTTGAAGATAAGCAACTAAAAGAGGGAAAGAGAAACAATGAATGGCCTAGCCATGATAGTTGATGGATGAGCTTGGGTTGGAATCCAGTTTTCTCAGAGCCAAGCCCAGTAGTGTTCAATTAAGTTTAACTTCTTTCTATTAGCAAGAAATCAGAGCTTTTCCAAGCAAGGCTAAAGAATGAATAGGCAGAATATAACCCCTGTTAGTGCGAATTTATTCAGATTATTTTGTTCAATAGTTTGAATTAAGGGTGGCTTGGAATGAATGTACTGTAGCGTGCTACAGCAAAGTAATAATAGGAGTCCTTGCTAGGAGATTATGTTTTCCTTAATCTTTTCCAGTATCACAGAAGAAAAAGGGGTATGTATGTGAAGCAAAAGCTGGGGATGTTCAGGTAAAGGAATCCAATACTATCTGGGAGTCTCAGTCATGCCTTTCCAAAGTAATAAATTAACTTTGTGTAGTAAAAGTCATCAGTGTAAAACAGCTAGTAAAGATTATAATCTCTAAATCTTTTATTTTACAATGATACTGTTAATAGGATATAACTTGTAGAAATGGAAGGAAAGCCTCAGTGTGGCCTTTTGTCAGATACCCTCAAGGTGATTTACAACAGAAAACATTAAAATGCAATAAATAGAGTAAAAGACAGTAAATCAGAACAAGAGAGAGAAAGAAAATATTAAAACCTCAAAGATCACATGAAAGGAGATTAAAGGAATACACAATGTTAAGAATCTGCTAGTAAATCTGTAAGGCTACTGCAAAAGAATGTATTTTACCAATATTGGAAAGGTTTCTGAGCAGATACAAAGAAGTCTGCAGAGAAAGCACGATGTTTGTATCACCATAGTCATCTTTCCAATAGACTCCTGCTTAATGTCCATTGATACTGGTCTCAGAAAAAGGGCTTCAGAAGAACTTACAAAAATAATAAAGAACATGATTGCTTAGATAGTCTCAACTAGGCTTTAAAACCAAAACCACCATTTAAATTGACCCCCATAAACTAGGAGCCAATAAAAATCTGTTGATGATACCCTTACTGTTATCTTCTGCATCAGATTTTTCAAAAGCAAATATCTGGGGGGAAAAAATAGCCCAGATGTTAATAGAATATTAACCAGAGTTGACCAGACAATTGTTAGAAAATATCCCTTAAATTCTTAGCCACATATTAGGAAACAACATTTATTTGGTCATTTTCATCTACATATTTTTTAGTAATCTTTGTACCGTAGAGTTTCATGATAAGGAAAATTATATAGATCCAAATAATCAGGATAAGAATCACCATTATGACAAACAGAATAATACTGCAGGGCTCAGTCAAATCAGGCTAGGTTGTTTTTTCCTAAATTTAGTATGAAAAATTATATATCATTGCAACTGCAATGGTTGATTTCTTAATTCCAACATCAAATAGGATGGTAATGAGAAAAGAACATTTCGGTTGTTCAGTAGATGGTGGTAAGAAAAGTCATATGCCAGTTCACAAACTTACAGTAAAATCTTTTTTCTCTTCATGCATCACTTGCATTCTCACAGATCAAATGTCTGTGGTAGTAACATGCTCAGTTAGCTGCACCCTGAAAGTATGTTTAAGGAAGGATTGTAGGGGAAATCTTATCAACCCCAACAGCTGAAGAGTGCTTTGAAGTTGCTTTTTTGGGACTGTGGCCATAGGGTGTTCTCTCTCAGAAAAGACAAAGTTTGCATGCAAGCAATTTTTTATTAAGATGGTTACAGACAGCATCTTCCTGAATACCATATTAGAAACAAACATCATTGTCAAATAGTAATTGGTTGATTTGAAAAAAATAACATATTCACCTTTAACTAGGCACAGTTTATCACAAACTTGATGTTAAAACGTATTCACGAATAAAACAATTGGCTTGATTTGCACAATATTTTTAATTATTATATTCCATGGATTATAGGTTACAGTGCCTGCATTTACACAATATGCTAAACCAGAAAATATGTGGTTTTAGCTTATTGTGTGTAACTCTGTGAACCTCTTGCTGCCAAAACCATTTTGAATTATAACTGGAAACTAAGGTTGGGTACACACATTGCATTAAGTCATGATTTGTTGAATAAAACACAGTTGTCTACTTTTGTGCTACATGTTTTTATATTACAGAGAAGGGCTGCATTCATATATGCTGAGATACTCTTTTTTACTCCAAAGTTTTTTGAAAGAAACAATTGACTGGCTTCATATAGAGTAGTCCTCACTTAGCGACAGTAATTGGGACCAGTATTTCTGTTGCTAACCTATGCAGTCATATACCACAATATCACATGACCGCTCTGCTCTGCTTAGTGATGGCAGTTCCGGCAGTCCTCAATTACCATGGTTAAGCGAGGACCATGTGGGTCATTAAGCAAGAACCTCATGTGACTTCCTGACTTCCCAACTTCCTACCAGCTTCCCCATTGATTTTGCTTATGGAAAGCCAGCAGGGAAGGTGGCAAATTAGAATCACGTGACTGCAGGACACTGCAACAGTCAGAACTTTGAGGACCAGCCGTAACTACCACTCATTCAGTGCCGCTGCAAGTTCAAATGGTTGCTGAACAAGTGGTCATTAAACAAGCACCACCTGTATGGCAAGCCAGGAAAAGTTGTATCGTTTCTGCCTGATGTTGCTACTATTAAAGAAACAAGTGCCCTTCTACATGTTTTCATTTGAAAAGTGGTGAGCTACAACATGAGTTATAATTAACACAGACATGAAACAAGGCTTACTAACTATATTAATCTAATTATAAAACAGCTATAAATTAATAAGCAATCATTGTTTAATCAACCAATATTGATGATGACTGAAATCTTTAACTACTTTCAAAGTTATCCTACTGAAATTATTGTAATGAAGCTTGGGCAAAGAATCACAGTCATGACAGTTGATATAATGTAAAAATAATCTACAGTATGAACAAATTTTCCCAATCTGAAAATCATATGTGGAAAGTATTACTAAGGATTAAACATTAAACAACCAAACAACCAGGATTAAACAACTGCATATATAGGTAGTCCTTGTTTAGCGACCACAATTGGGATTGGCAACTCGGTCATTAAGCAAAGCGGTTGTTAAGTGAAACTGCAACTGTGCTTACAATCTTACTTCAGCTTTCCTTTGCTTTACAGACCTGTGAAGATTGTAAACGTGAGGAATGGTGGCAAAGTTACTTTTTCATCACCACTGTAACTATGAATGGTTGCTA